GGCCTTAATCATGATGGATTTTTCACATACAGCCTGTCATCAAGGTTAATCCAGGGATTCCGACTATATAAAGTTAATTCGGTAAACAGTAAATTGTAAAAACTTCAATACACCATTTCATTCATCATCGAGCAAAGCATTTCATTACATTGGTGATAATGAGTAAAAAAGAAAAAATTTTAAGCATAAAATTTCTTTAAGTTAGCCACATTCCATGACCTGGCTAGAGATCTTCCTTCAGCATCCTTTAAAGAGTATGCCCCTCCAGCATGGACCTTTTCGACCAGGTATGGTCCTTCCCAGTTTGGCTCTAATTTCCCGACGTGTTTCAGCACATCGACTCTCTTCCACACCAAGTCACCCACTTGGAATCTTCGTGTTTTCACTTTTCTATCATGCGCTGCTCGCATCCTTTGTTTGTACGCCTCGACTCTGATTGTTGCCTTTCCTCGAAGCTCTTCGATTGTGTCGAGCGCTGCCATCATCAGATGTTCATTTTGTTCTCGATGATATGTGCTCGATCTTTAGGACTAAACCTCGACCTCTATCGGCTACAAAGCCTCCATGCCGTATACCATACTAAACGGTGTTTCCCCAGTGGTCGATCGGGGAGTTGTTCTGTACGCCCATAGCACCGAAGTAAGTTCCTCCACCCATGCTCCCGATGCTTTCTCCAACCTTGTTTTCAGACCATTCAATATAATTTTGTTGGTCACTTCGACCTGCCCGTTGGCCTGCGGGTGTGCGACTGAAGCGAAATGTTGATCAATTTTCATGTCCTCGCACCATGCCCGAATCCGCTTGCCATTGAACTGGGTCCCGTTGTCCGACACTAACACTTTAGGAACTCCGAACCTGCAACATATGTTATCATATAAAAAATGTATCACTTTCTCCTCCGTGATTTTCGCCAGGGGTTCAGCCTCCACCCACTTCGTGAAGTAATCGACCGCGACAATCAAGAACTTCCTCTGTCCGGTTCCTTGGGGCATGGGCCCAACCAGGTCGATCCCCCATTGGGCGAACGGGATGGGAGAACTCATCGCTATCATGGATTCAGCCGGCTGGTGAATGAGCGGGCCGTGTTTCTGGCATTGCAAACATTTCCGCACCATCTCCTTGGCATCTTCTCTCATTGTTGGCCAGAAATATCCTGCTCTTAGAGCCTTTGCTACCAAGGAACCTGCCTTGCTTGTGATCGCTGCAGTAGCCCTCGTGAGTTTCCTTCAACACATATCGCCCTTCTTCTTCGGTTACACATCGCAAGTGGGGGCCCGCGTGCGACCTTTTGTAGAGAATCCCTCCATGCTCGAAAAATCTTCTTATCACTTTAACAGCTCCTTCCTTCAATTCTTTTATTATCGACGCCCTCCAATCCTCGACTTCTTCTATCTCGACCACCTCCTTCTCGACCACACTCTTCCCCACGTGCAGCAAGGTCACACTTCTGCTCTTGCAGTCCACCAGACTTTGTGCCATTTTAGCTAACAGATCCGCTCGACCATTTTCTCCTCGAGGTATCTGGATTAATTCGAAAGAATCAAACTCTCCCTGCAGCTTCTTTATCTCCTCCACATACTTCATCATCCTTTCCTCCCGGACCTCGAACCCTTCCTGGAATTGACCCACCACCAATTGTGAGTCTGAATGCACCTGCACTGCTCGAGCTCCGCCACTTAAGGCCAGTTTGAGTCCCTTAATGACCGCCTCGTATTCCGCTTCATTATTTGATATCTGGTAGGCCACCTTGATTGCGAACTCCAGGCTGTCACCTTTCGGCGACATAAGTACGATGCCTAGGCCACCTCCGGCCCTCGACACCGATCCATCTGCAAACACCTGCCACACCCCTTCAGACTCCTCGCTTTCCTTCGTCCCCTCTTGTATAAAATCGGCCAGTGCTTGAGCCTTAATCGCCCTCCTCGGCTCGTAGATAATTGTGTATTCACTCAGCTCGACTGCCCATTTGACTAACCGTCCCGACACGGAGGGTCGACCCAGTGTTTCTCCCAATGGCATGTTCGTTCGGACCTTCACCCTATGTCCCAAGAAATATGGTCTCAGCTTCCTTACGGTGACCACCACTGCCAAGGCCCCTTTTTCAATCTCTGAGTACCTCCTCTCCGCCCCTTGCATCACCTTACTTACGTAATAGATCGGAAATTGGGCTGTCCCTTCCTCCCGCAATAACACAGAGCTCACTGCCGCAATAACACCAAGTCCTCCCCTTGCACTGGTTTTGCCAATAGTGGTAGATCGACCAACATCCTCTTCAACTCCTCGAATGCTTTCTGGGCTTCTTATGTCCACTGGAATTTCGAGCTCTTCCTGAGTGTCTTAAATAGGGGCCCGCTTTTCTCAGCTACCTTAGAAATAAAACGGCTCAGGCCTGCTATTCGACCAGTTAAGATCTGCACCTCCTTCACCTTCGTGGGGGGCTGCATCTCGATCACCGCCCTCACCTTCTCCGGATTGACCTCGATCCCCCGCTTCATGACCATGTAGCCCAAAAATTTTCCAGATTTGACCCCGAACGAGCACTTAGCGGGATTCAGCTTCATCCCATACTTCCGGAGGGTCATGAATGTTTCTTTTAAGTCGTTCACATGGTCAATTTCCTCTTTGCTCTTTACCAGCATATCATCCACATATACCTCCATGTTCCTTCCCAACTGATCCTTAAAAATTTTATCCACCAACCTCTGATATGTCGCCCCTGCATTCTTTAGACCGAATGGCATCACCACATAGCAGTATGTTCCACGGCTTGTTACAAAGCTGACCCTTTTCCAATCCTCTCGAGCCAGCGGGATCTGATGATAACCCTGGGATGCGTCCATCAAACTGAGTAGCTCACACCCGGCTGTGGAGACGACCAGCTGGTCGATCCTGGGAAGCGGATATAATTCCTTCGGGCATGCCTTGTTCAAATCTCGGAAATCTATACACATCCACCATTTCCCCTCTGATTTCGAGACCATCACTGTGTTCGATAGCCACTCTGGGAACTGGATCTCCTTTATGTGACCTGCCACCAAGAGTTTTTCTACCTCCACTTCGATTACCTTATCCATCTCTGCCCCGTGGTGTCTCCTCTTTTGCTTCACCGGTCTTACCGTGAGGTCGATGTTCAACCGGTGCTCAATAACGTCGGCCTTGATGCCGGTCAACTCTTCCGTTGAGTATGCGAACACATCCGCAAAATCTCTTATCACCTTTATTAGTCTAGATTTCACCGGCTCCTCTAATTCCTTCCCGATCCGGAACTTCCTTTGTTCGCAACCCTCGACCATCTGTATCTCCTCCACTTCGCCACCTGGCTGCATTTCGGCATTCTCCTTCCCTTTCTCTAGTTTATGTCTTTCCTCCTTCGACCTCGACCCTCCCGGTCGATTAACTTCCTCCCCCTTAGGATGCATCTGCTTCCTCGCTAGTTGCTTATTGTTGCTCACAGTGGTCTGGTAGCAGCTTCTCGAGGTAAGTTGATCCCCAGCGATCTCACCAACGTTTTCGCCCACCGGATATTTGATCGTCATGTGGTACGTAGATACGACCGCCTGGAACGCATTCAGGCTCGTTCTCCCCATTATGATGTTGTAGGATGACTCAACTCCTACGACCACAAATCTCACCATCCGAACCTTCCGCGTTGCTCCCTTTCCCAGTGCTACCGATAGAGTCACCTCTCCCATAGGCATGACCTCCCCGCCGTTGAAACCATACAAGGCCGTGGCCACCGGCTTCAGCTCCACATTCAACTCCCGATTGATTTGCACAAAGCAATCATAAAACATGACATCGACCGAACTCCTTGTGTCTATAAACACCCTTTTCACATCAAAACCTACAACTTCGGCCGTAATTACCAAGGCATCATTGTGAGGCACCACCACCCCTGCTGCATCCTCTGCTCGAAAACTGATTTCTGGCACTCGGGCTGTGATACTCACCTCTTCCCTCTTCCTTTTCATTGCTCGAACATGGCCTCTCCTCGCATTATTCGAGTCCCCGTCAGTCGGTCCTCTTGAAATCATATATATCGTGCCTCTCTTTACTTGGCCTCCATCTCCTTCTCTTTCCCTCTCCCTACTTCTTCTCCTCCTCTTCCCCTCATCTCTTTTTCGACCATCTCGACCACCTCGTGCATCCTCATCATCATCTTCCTCGCTCCTCTCTACCGAGTCTTCCCGACACCTTCTCTTCTCCTTCCTCCTCCCCTTATCCTGATAGACAAACTCCTTGAGATGCCCTGCTCGAATAAGGCGCTCAATCTCGTCCTTGAGATGCCGACAATCCTCAGTAGTATGGCCATAGTCTTTGTGAAAGCCGCAATATCTCCTCGACTTCGGTTGGGTGGGCCCCTCGAACCTCGACCTTGGCCACGACACATCTTTCCCATCTCTCCCTTTCTCCATGGCCATCAGAACCTCAGCTACCTTCGCGTTCAATGGGGTGTAATCATGGAATCTCTTCCCTCCAGAGATAGGTCGGTCCTTCCACCTGTCCTCTCGCCCCCGATCCTGCTTAGCTCGCCCCTCCCTCCTGGGTGAGGCTTTCCTTTTGGGCGAAACTGCTTTCTCCTTCCTCGACTCCCCTCGACCTAGCTCTTCTAGTTTGGCAAACTCCGCCTCAGTCTCCTCGAGATTGATATATTTCCTACACCTCCTCAACACCTCATCATACGTGTGAGCAGGAGTCTTAGCCAGAGAAGTCCGACACGGTCCTGCCCGCAAACTCCTTATCAATCCTCCCGCCTTGACCTCGTCGACCGCCGATGGAATCTCCAAACAAGCCAGATTGTATCGAGCGACATATTTACGCAGTGATTCCTTCTCGCCTTGTCTCATCGCCATCAATGTTAAATACATTTTCTCCTGAGCCACCGCGCTCAAATATTGATTTGTCAACTTCTCCGCAAAATCCTCGAAGTCCACTATCGAGCCTGGGGGGAGCTGTTGGGACCAGTCGAGCGCCCCTCCCCTAAGGGTCGATAAAAAGGCCCTGCAACTAACGGGATCAGTATATCCGTGCAACACAGCCATATTTTCAAATGTCCTCACTTGTCTCGACGGATCAGAAGTCCCATCGAACACCAAGTTGGTATCCTTGTAATTATTTGGCAAGGGTGCTGCTAGTATGTCCACCGAGAACGGGTGTCCTCGAGCGCGCCTTTCCGCTCGACCATTTACCTTAGCCTGCAATTGGCGCAGTTGTTCCGCCATCCTCTCCATCTCCCGTCATGTGTGGGCCCGCCTCCACCATAGCTGGATTCATCCTCTGCGTTTTGGTGTGACCCTGCAATAGTGTTTGGCGTTGCCGTGGCCCGGGAGAGACTGTTTGTGACTTGCTGAACTGCTTGCGCGGCTGCCTCCGCCACCATTTGTTGCATCTCCTGCCTGGTCATTATCACCTGCTGGTCGGGGACCTGAACCGCTGCTCGCGGCGGTGCTCCTCCTTGGGCCACCGCTCTTTCTGGTTGCATCCCCATTCCTCCCGGTTGCGCCACTGTCGCTCCCAGTTGCACTCCCACTCCTCTTGGTTGCGCTGCCGTTGAGCTATGTGGTGGTGGTGGTGGCATCGCCGCCGCATCCGCTGCGTGGGCCTCTTGAGCACGGTTGGGGCCAGCGTCTCCTCCGGGAATTGCCGTTGCCACTCCCACACCTTGGAGCACAGGTACGGGAGTGATCGGCGTCTGTGATGGGCCAGAAAAACCCGGGGGAGGACCCTGTCACAACGGCCTGGTCGTTGTCCAAGCATCATCGAACGTTGACTGTAAGTTTTTGGGAATTCCGTCCGCCATAGCTTAGCTTCAAGCACACCTTTTCAAACGAAAGTCCCACAGACGGCGCCAAATGGTAACACAAAACTTCTCGACCGGCTGGAACTTGAATAATCACCTTCCTTCTCACCGGTTGAACGTCGTGCACCTACAAAGAACTCTCACACCGGAGGGGTTTTCCGGTAAAAAGCCTCCGAAGCTTAAGTCAGTGTATGTTCAATCAATTCTCAAGAGTAAGTAGTAGAATGATCGTGTTGAAGAAGAAAGGCTCACCCCATTTATATAGGGGTGAGATACCTTACCTAGGGCTGCCCGGATTTGATGAGCTGTCTACCCTAACTGCCCGTCCGTACACACCAAACGCGTGTGTCAGAGGTAGCCGTCGCCACTATCGCCTGCACCAATCCTCTTTGGACGCGTGTCCTCCTGCACATGGGTAGGCTGTCAGAGATGGTTATCGCTATCCACCACCGCCTTCTCGACACGTGTCCCCCTGCACATGGGGTAAATATTCTCCTGGAATTCTGTCAGAGGCTTCCTTCACGCGCCTATGACTAGGCCGAACAACGTGGTGTTAAGTCCTCGAAGTAATCGACCTGTTGAGGTTGAATAGGTTGCTCGATCGCGTATCTGGTCGAAGGATAGTTTGGTCGACGCCTTTGATTGGTCGACTGGTTAACTGCTCGATTTCTTTGACTTCCTCATAATACGACCTCCTCGACCGGTCAATAGACCGGTTCAACCTTGTGGGTATAATATCCCATATCATATATATATATATATATATGTAATTCTAAATAATTCAATGCACACAAGGCAACAATTATTCTCATGCATAAATAAACAAATAAATAATTAATGCCATAAATAAATATCCACTATTATGGCCAATTAAATATT